TCTATTTTCGAATTCAAACTTTTTAAATTATTTTTTTATTTTAAATTTGTTTAAAAAGTAAACTTCCACTAAACTGCACCGTTATTTTCAACAGAAAAATGTTTTTTCTCATACAAATTTTCAAAAATAATTAACAAGTTCGGCTTACATTTTCAAAATGAGTGTTTTTCGCTTTTGCGCTTTTATTCACGAATGTCAATTCTCCGCTTATGATCGCTCGAGGAGCTTTTCTGCTTTACTACGTCTTAACGCGCGTACGCTATAGGCAAAACTGATACTGAAATTTCGCTTTCAGCGCTCGAAAGTGCGAGTGCGGTGCGTCGTCTCCCGACCAATTCATCCATTCGCTGGTTTGTTTTGCTCAAGCGGTGACGTCATAAGATTCCAACAAGTTGAAGTGATGACTAAAATGTTTCAATGCAATTAACAATACACATACATACATACAAATATACCAGGTATGTGTAGATGAGCGCTTTTTGTTGTAACAACGGAAGTAACAAAGTTTGGCGGCGACGCCGACGCGCTCCATGAACGAAAGCAGCACATATAAACGGCGCACATACCCAATTGTATCTGTATCCGTGGAGCTTATGTACACACATACGAACATATATGTATATATGTATGCAAACAAATAAACAAATTTATTGTTATTGCTTAGGTAATGCCACCGAACTTGGACATACGGTTCGTATAATTACGTGATATGATATCGACTTAGGGTGACCGACTAAAATACATTTTTTTTCGACACGATTTTTTTAAACTCGAGCTTTTAAAAAAGCACTTTCACAGGTGAAAAATTCGGCTGCAGACATTCCTACTAAACGCTGCAAATTTACCTATAAGCGCAGCAGAAATTCAGTATGTTAAGGCGCCATTAAAGTGTGCGACAACCTCAACAGCCCTAGTAAAGGTTAAGTCGTCTGAATTACCACCTTTTATCGTCTAAAAGTTTTTAGAGAGAGTAGTAGTAAGAATTCAAACGTTTCTAGGTCAACTTGAAAACGCAATCCGAAGGAAGAGGTCGATTTCAATTTCTACAGCAGTAAAAATTTACTAATACATGTATGTTTTCGGATTTTTTTATAAGGAAATGAAAAAAGACAGAGCTTTCAGATTTTGATTACATATTTAGTAAGCCTTGAGCTGTAATTTTGATTTTTTAAGTAAAAATATAGGTCAATAGTTTTTTAAAGGAAAAACAAAGATCTTCAAATTTATTGGGGACTTTTTATTATCATTCGAAAGAACATTCTTTGATTTTATTTTTTAGGATTATTTCTTTCAAGTGTTGAATGTGACTACGCCTCAGATGGTCCATCAATTGCGTCAGATTTTCGGTGATCCCGAAGCTTATAGCTTAAGCAAAACGTCCTAAGAGTAATATCAACAAAGCTTATGGCGGCCAAATTACCCCACACGTATCCAATTTCATGAGTAAGTTTTGCCTAACACTAAAGTCTTACATATCACCTAAGCCTTTGTAGGTAAAGGTGTCCATCATGAGTGAACTATAATCTTGCAACAAGAAAGAATAACGATGTAATTTTCTCTACATTGGATAGTGGAGTAAAGCGGTATGATTGGAATAAAAACTTCATAAATATTTCAGCGAGTTAATTAATGCGCAACTACCTTTGCTTGGATACGTCGTCTTCCCAGTGCTGTACATGTATGTATGTTCAATGCGGAAGTCACAATCGGTAACCCTCTTAAGGTCTGTGGCTTGTTAAGGTAGTGGCACTTCACCTTTTGTGAAGATTCTCAGTGTTTCTCTATATTTATCCGTATCTGTTCAAGTAATGTCTAGTTCAAACGTCTCCTAGGTCACAGTTAATCGAACTGCAAGTATGTCAATTGCGGAGCGTGACATCACTGTTTACAAATGTCAAGATTTTGAAGGTTCTATCCAATTATTAATAATAATACATATTTTTTATGGAATCGCATCGCATTTATCCAAATCTTATTAATAGATTTTGAATCAAGCGATTTGAGTGAGTAACTCAATCATAAATCGTAAATGAAATGAGTAAACATACACACGAATACTTATGTATGTACATATATGTACATATGTATATCGGTAAGTACACAGTACTCGTATGTGGAGGCTGAACTTTCTGAGTCATTGTTCGATTCATTTGTGTTGTATTGTCTGGAAAAGTGAAATTTGTTTCTGTTTTGGTATAAATTTTGTCTAGTTCACTTTCGTAATAAAACACCCCCAGTCGAAGGCAATGACCTTTCACTCAAAGAAAGCGAGAATTTGTTATCCTTTATAAATGGTGGACGAAGAGTTTGTTTAGCTTTGAATTGATGGAGCAGGGCATGGGCTAGCGGAGTTGAGAAATGCATTACTTGGAGAGGGACTATTGCAACGACGAAATGAAGCTCAAAGTTACATATAATTAATTGGAAAATGTATGCAAAAATTTTAAAAGGCAAGTTCAACAATGAACCAATCATAATCCGGTTTAACTAATAGAATGGGACAACGATAAGCTACAACAAGAAAGAGTTTCGACCGTAACGAGAAAACGAGCTAGAGCTCAGACGGAATAACGAAATTGAATTTTTAGAAGAATTTAAAAGAAATTTCCCCGTATTTTTACAATAAGCAGTTTTCATTTCACATCTTATTGTACAATTTCGCTGAATGGAGAACTCTCCTGACAATATATACACTGTAGGTCTCACATATTAATCGATATTTTTTTTTATAAAAGCTTTTTGAACATCTTTATGGATTCTTGATTTATTAATTCAGTCTCAATTTTTACACAACTCGCCTTGTCATCTTGATCGAAATTAGTTTTAAGTGTTACAAAGAATCGTTAAATGTATAGGTGTTGAAAGTATGCAAAGGCAAAAGAAAAGGCGGAACACATTTCCGATTTCCATTCACTCCTAATGCAACATGCAACATACTAATGTGATCAAATTGAAAGGTGAATTTCGTCCATTTAATTTCCTTCAAAGTAATCCCCTCCAGCTGCAATATACTTATGGCAACGAATTTTCCAGTCATCATTGTACTTGGAAAAACCCTCCGTCGTGATGGCTATCAGAGCCTTCTTTAATTCAGTTTTTATTTCCTCAATTGAGTCAAAACGGTGTCCTCGGAGTGGTCATGTGAATTTGCTGAATAGCCCGAAGTTACACGAAGGTAAATCAGGCGAATGCGGCGGTTTCGGCACGATATTATTAGTAAAGTAATATTTCGTCTCATTACTTAGGATGAGTTCTTTTCGACGACACTTAGATCGGATTTATTTTTTAAGCCAATTGATAATAATTTCGATTTAAGCTAATCTGGATTTAAAATTTAAAGAAATACTTTTTCGTCGAAATCCGCCATTTTGAAAAAAACGAAATTTTGACCAATCCATTGAACATCCTTTTCCAACAATTTTTTTTCTCATATAAAAAATTAAATATTTTATAAAATTGTTTTATTGTTACAAACATACCATATTAACAAAGTTCTGAAATTTTTAGAAAAAAAAAATTTACATTCGGCCATTTCAGGTGATCCCTCGGGAAAACCATCTCTAAAGTGAGAAAATACGTGTTTTAGTTAAATCCTAACTTGGAACTTGGACAAAAAATCTTCCGACATATTTTTTTTTTTGAAATGATTGTAATCAAAAAAATCATTGGTCCAAGTTTTTAAGAATTGTATTTCAAAAACCTGTGTAAAATTTCATAAAGATCGTAAGATCATAAAGTTATAAGTTATAACGATGCTAAAAATTATCGTTCGGAGTTGTATTTGCGTAAACTTATTTTAGTACGCAATCCAACAAGAAACTTTTTCAAACTAGTATAAAAAATTTGTGACATGTTGTGAGAATCCCAATTGAAGTAAGAATTTCTCTTTATAATTTGAATGCATGCTTTCCTTTATTTTTATTTCTTTATTACATATTGTTATTAATATTTGCAATACAATTCAGTATGACTTTATTGCTTGCAGTGCTTATTAGTTTTTTGTTTTTGGTTTGCCTACAAAATGAAAAATCTGTAGCTTTCGTTAGCTGCACATAAACAATAAATATGTATGAGTGTACGTATGTATGTATATAAACATGGCCACTAGTGGTTAACTTTTTCGTTGATTTTATTGTTTAAAATTATGAATTCATATTTCGCAATACGTGACATAAATTACAGTCATTTAATAAACCAGGCTGCTTATACATAGCAATTCACGGCAAATTAGTGCAAGTTWATAATTTAGAACAATTGAAATATATAAATAACTTTTGAAATGCTTTGAGTCGCAGAGACTACAAAATTACAAACTAAAAGAAATTTCAATTTTTTTTTTTTTTTTTTTTAACAATTTCGTAGTTCAACATATAATTAAAGCGACTTAAGGAATATTTTATTATTTGAATTCTTAATGTTACAAAGTGATTCTCAGAGGATAACCGCAAAACCAGACATTTTTGCTTTCACCGATTTCATTGAACCGCACACCTTTCGCCATTGAAAAAACTTTTAGTTAATATTATAACATATTGATTGATTAATAATCTAGAAGAGTGCGCGACACAGCGCTAAGCAATTAAACAGTCGAAAGACATTGTTGTTTCTAATCTAAATTATCATCGAAATCGTGTGGTTTAGGCTCGGCTTTAGGTTCGGGTTGAGAGGGTGGCGCTCGTGTTTTGTTCAAGCCCTCGAACATTTTGGCAACATTTTCTAAACCAATTTTGTTGCCGAACTCGGCGATTTTAGCGAATTTCGGATTGCTCTTGTACTTCTCAATATTTTCTGGACTCTTTGCAATGTCTATCAACATCTGCTGAAACTCCTTATCCTGAATGGCAGTCAAAAATTCTGGATCGAAGCGTATATCATTTTCTGGCTTTTGCTCTTGTGGCTGCTGTTGTTGCTGTTGCTTACGTTCTTTAGCGTGTGCTCGTGTCTTGTGCTGTGCCTTCTTGCTTTCGCGCTCGGCACGCTTTCGTTCCTGCTTAATACGGTGTTGTTCGAGTTTCTTGGCGTTGGGTGTGACTTCACGCAACCATTCGTCTGCCTCCTCATCGAAATCTAACTTGCAAGCTTGCCGTAAATCGTTAGCAGATTTCTCCCAATTACCCAACAAACGGTGAGCACGACCGCGGAACTTGTAGGCCGCCGCTGAATCACAATTCAACTCCAACGCTTTGTCACAGTCACGAATACAAGCATTGGGCTTCTTTAGTTTGAGGAATGCCTGACCGCGTTTGGCATGGAACAAAGCATTGCCGGGATTTAGCTCGATAGCTTTGGTGTATAGATCTATGGCTTCATCAAATTTCTGTTCGGAATAAGCAGCGGCGGCTTGTGAGCGCAAAGCGCTTGCCTGATCGATTTCCTCCTCTGTCGGTGTCTTATTCGTGTCACCCATCGGCTGATCGGCTTCGGTGTCGGCTTCAATAACACCTATAAATAAATAAAGGAAGGAAGCGAATACGTCAGACTACTAATAGTGGGATGGACAATACGAGAAACACACTTGGCGGGTTTGCCTTGCTAAATTCAAGCTGTTTATTTCATAATTGTAGCTAATTCTTCTTACACTTATCATTAGATATATGTACATATGTATATAGGCAAAATATACCGCATATGTAAAATAAAAATTCCCAGCTTGCTTAAAGTAAAAGTCTCTTTCGACGACTGGACTCTTAAATGTATATTAAATTACTTAATATTATACAACTTATATTCTTACTTATAGCTAAATGTGTATCATACTTTAAAGCATATGAAAATTTTGTGCACGTTCTTCGCTTTCGTAGCCGGCGTTCATGATGTGTGGCTGGTGTACATAGCCGGCGGCTTGTGGTAGCAGCTGATAGGCAGATGTAGGCATAAGTGTGGGTGGCAACTGCTGTTGCTGTGGTTGCATTTGCGTTGTTGGTGGTGGTGGTGGAGGTTGCTGTGCTGACAGTTGCTGTTGGTGATGATATATTGTGGGCACAATAACAGGCGTAGGCGCTTGTGGCGCATAGCGCTGCTGCAAGAACCGCATGGTTTCAGTTGCATTTGGCGTCAGTTGCGTCCAAAAGCCTCCCTCTTCACCCGTGAATGTGGAAATGTTCGGATTGAGTTTTTTCGTTTCAGGCGCAGCGTTTACCTTGATAAGCTTGCTGTCAACCGCCAATGTAGCATCAACATTTGCATTAGTGCTGTTCTTGGTAGTGTCAGTTTTAACTGTCTCAATGCATTTTCGCTGTGAGCTTACTTTGTGCGCATGCTTGGAAGTAGGTTGCAAAAAAGCCAACTTGAAATCCTTATGAAATACCCTACGAAAGTAGCTGGGACTGAGCGCAATTTTATTTTGGCGTTCACAATCCTCTTTATACTCGGCATACATTTTCATTATGTTCAATGAACTGTGCAGAAAGCGTGTTTTGTAGTTTTTGTGTGGCACCCATGTTGGATAGCTGTTGATATGTTCGCGCACACCGGCAATAAGTTCCTCTGGAAATTTATTCTTTTTGCCATTACGCCCCCGCCGGTCTTCGCCAGCATAGGCACCGGTTTGCTTATCGACATTCTTTTGTGCATTGGCGAGGAAGTGACTGCCAATGCAGAGCGTTGTATTGAAGAAACGTGAACACACGCGTACATTTTCACCGCGTTCGCCACGTAGAAAATACCGATTTGTGTACACACGTACACGAGTTGTCTTTCGGTGCTCTGCTGCAGTCGTGTTGGTGTTTTCATGCACTTCAACGCGTGATAGCACAAAGTCTTTACGCCTTTTATAACTCAAACGCCAAAATGCCGCACATAGTAGCGCGCGTTGCTCTTCTGTGAATTTTGTGTGACATTTAAATCGACATGATTCGGCGCAATTGACTGGTTGTGGCACACGATCTTTTTTTATAGAGATACCTTTTCTGGTGGGGCGATTACAAGAATTGGACTTAGTTTTCTGTACAGATGAGGTCACGGCTTCAGACTGTCCCGCTAACACCACCTCAGTTTCAGCGCTGTTGTTTTCCTGTGCAGATAATGAGGAAGTCTTTTCTATTTTCCTTTCATCAGTTATCTTCACTGGTACTGTTTCATTTTCTTCACTTTGTTTATTTGTTTTGAAATGTAGTAAGTCAGCATTATTCGTAACCATTTCCTTTATACCAAAATCTTCTATGTGTTCACTAGTTTCTTCAGTCACCGAATTATCTTCAGTAGAAACCGGATCCTCCACCGAATTATCACGCCTTTGTTTTGCTATTTCAGTTTTTAAACGCCGACCCTCGCCGCTGCCGCCACGCAAGTCTATACCGGTATAATGTCCTTTACCATCATTGTGCTCCAGCGCATCCTTTACCAAGTAACCACTTATGACAAGTGTTTTCAAAAAGAAACCTAAGCACACCCTTACACGTTCGCCGTCACTGGAAGGCATGAAGTAGTGATTCGTGTGCTGGCGTGCTTCTTTTACTCTCTTTATTATACGCATTTTTCCAAGCGGTTTTTTCTCTACACATGACAGTAAGTAGTTTTTTCGTTCGACGAATCCCAGTGACCAGAACTCTTTACACAATTTCATCCGCTGATCCTCATCAATTTTACTACACTGTTTTTTGCATTTCCCGTTGCAATTAACCGGTTTAGGTTTTCTAACTTTCTTCTCAGGTTTCAATTCTGTGTAAAAATGTCGGTTCTTTGTGTAACGCTTTCCTTTCTTGCTCTGTAATTTACGTCTACAACTACGTGTTTTTATTCGAGGAAGAACCATTTCGGAAGACTCATCGCTACCGCTAGCGTCTTCACCTTTATAGTTTTCATCCTGTAAATCTTCATTTTCGCAATCACTATCTATCTCGAATTTCATCGCAATTGGCGTAGCATTAGTTTTGATAGGATCCTCCTCCCCAATATTATTCCTTTCATCAGTGTCATAAATAGCTTCAACCTGACACTCATACTCCTCGATATTGTTTTCTTCACAATCCGAGTTTTCTCGTTCAGTTTTTATGGGCTGTTTTCTAATTACTTTAGTTTCCTCGAGATAAACTGTACTTGTATTGATGAAATTATCGACAATAACAGATCTATCCGCCAAATCCGGTCCGCTCTTCGGCTTTTTCCGCTTATGTTTTGTTCTGGCTGAAAGCAAAAGTGCGTATACAAGAGCCGTGTCAGGCATAACTCGATAAGTAATATTATAATTAAAAAGTTTTCTACCTACAAGAAATTAATATAGTATTAACCCTATAATTTTCCTGACACGCCTCTGACCAGAAATTCGCAAAGCTACCTTAATCAAAATAAATTCTTTTGGCAAAGTAATCAACTACTACATGTAACATAACCTTGTATAATGTAATTACCAACCCATAATTCTAAAAACTTACCTTCCATGTCCAATTCCACCTCTGACTCAGGTTCCGATTCTTCCAGTTCGGATTCCTCTGATTCATCAACATTCATGCCACTACAACTGGCTGCGTCCGCACCAAATGGGCATTTTCTATAAATTCTTACCAAATTTTTTATTTGTTCAAATAGAGGTTATTCTAATAGAGCTTACCCTCTAGCAGAAGTGGGCATCTTAAATTCTCCAGTCGGTACTTTACCACCAAATTTTTCCAAAAATTCTTTTACAAACTCTAGTTGCGGCAAATTAAGAGCAGTTGGATATTCAGACACGAAATTTATGAAAAACTTCAACTTTTCCAAGTCGGCATGGGAAAAATTGGGCATAGCCATTTCTGCGTATTTTTGTCTAATAAGATTGCCAAAGTGTTTCTAAACAATTATGATTATTTCGTTTTGTGTTAAGAACAATAATACCGCGTTTATTTTCTGTATTTTTTATAATTGGAAAATTTCTTTACTTTAATTAGTCGGTAAAATATTATCGCGAAACTTCTTTTTTGATTAACGGCACAGAGTTGATATTCAATTACAAGCGAAAAATAACCAATACTGCCAGGTTCAGCTTGGCGTACCGTTCATCAAAGTTCACACGTACCAAACTTTTCATATTGTTTTCAAACTTTTGAAACCATAACACAATCTTGAATATGAATTCTGTCCCTTTTAATTATTCATAACTGTTATTATTAATTTTCTTAACAATTTATGATTTAATATAATATTTATGCACATGTACAAAAAAGAAAGTCTACAATTTAGTATCGATAATTTTACCGTCGATAATCATTACATATGTATCTGCAAATTGGAGACAATCCACTTTGAATCAAAACTACCGCGCAAAACAATAAAGATTAGAGAAATCAATTACATGTTTTTGAAACAAACGCTATTAAATGGCTCCGAAACGTAAACGCAAAGCCCAAAATCAGCCTGGTGTACGTATTGTTTTTATATAGACGTGAATTCATTATGTTGGATTGTTGATTGATTTATTCTATAACACTTTAATTGCAGTTAACCGCAGGCAGTGCAGTAACAAAATGCAAAGTATTAAAAACTGAAGATGCAGTATTAGATGCTAATCTTCCTGTTTTGTATATAGAACATTGCCGATCATGAAACGTATTTCGCCGCCGGGCTCTTCAAGTTCATGCTGATCTGCTTGAACAACTGCGTGCATTAAAGCCAGATGTAGAACTTCAATTGCTTATGAATGTCGAACGTCCACCACGGCGTGGTTCATTTGAGGTATCTATTGCCACAAGTCCTACCGAAGAGCGACAAGAAATATGGTCAGGCTTAAATAGAAAACCGCGAGCACAAAAATTTCCACCTATTAATGAGTTAACTGATGCGGCTAGTCGAGTTTTAGGCTTAAATGCGGTTAAGAACAAGGAAGGTAAGAATGAAGCTATTAAAGATCAGACTGAGCAAAAAGAAGTTACTAAATCTGGCAATAAGCGAAAACGTTCAATATAAAAAATGTTTTAATTTTTGAAAACTGGGTAGCATTTATGACTATCGTTTGGTAAAATCTCTAATAGAGAAGCTAAACGGTATGATTTTTTTTTTGCTCAAACGTGTGATGAAATTAAAATATTAAAAATCTATAATTTAAATGTTATTACTGTAAGTTGGGATACGTTTCATTTCGTGCAAATACCTCAAATGTACGCATATAATTTTGTTAAACTAAGTTATTTGTTGCTGACTTTCATTATTACTCAAACGCAGTACTATAAGTTAAGTTGACTACATCCTAATCCACGGTTACAATGATGGCCGTAGAGAGAAACTGCCCACTGGAAGATTTAATATAATCCATTAATTGCTGAAAAAAATTGTTGCAGACAACCGGACAGCAGTGAGAAATTGTCCCCGATCTCCGCCCCTCGGTCACTGATTGTTATTCGCTTTAATAAGCAGTAATTAAACAACTATTAAAACAAATGAAATAAATCACATTTTTATTATTGTAAAAAACGTATGAATTTTTGAAAATAAAATATCTTTGTTCAAAAAGATTGGTATCCACTTAGCTTCTTATTTGTTTCTCACTTTAGATCGTTAGTGTCATTGCATTGTGCACAAGAATTTGCCTCCACAGTTTCACCTTCCGGAATGTCTTCGCCGCTCTGTTTATATAAATCTAGTGTATCTTGCAGATCATGTTGCGCATCTATGAATTCTTGCTCTTCCATACCCTCCCCCGTATACCAATGTAAATGGGCTTTGCGCCTCAGCATTATACCGCTACCATCCAAAATACGTTGCAAGAGCTTATGTATTGCTGAAGTGTTGCCAATGAAAGTTGCTGACATCTTAAGTCCTCTTGGTGGTATATCACATATAGCGGTCTTTATGTTATTGGGTATCCATTCTACGAAACTACTTAAATTTTTGTTACGTACATTTGTCATTAACTGATCCACCTCGCGTGGAGACATGCGACCACGGAAAATACCAGCTGCAGTTAAAAGCTTTCCATGCCGCAAATCAACAGCACATAATAAGTTGTTGGATGAGAAGATTTGTTGTACCAACTCGGCGACAGTACCCTGGGAAAACTCTTTTTGCTTACAACTAACAAGTGGTGCAAAACCAGGTATGAGGAAATGTAATTGTGGAAATGGTACCATGTTGACGTAGAGCTTACGAAGTCCAGCGTTAAGTTGACCTGGAAAGCGCAAGCAAGTGGTTATGCCTGACATGGTAAGTGCGACTATATGATTGATGTGTTCATAACCGCTGACAGCCATTTTCAAATTGCGTGAAACTATTTGAAAAAGCGCCTCATTGTCGAGGCAGAATGTTAAATGGGAATTATGTATTAGCGACGGCATACTCAAAAGGGCATTATAAGGTTCAACCACTACTTGTGACATTTGAGGTGAAGGTATCGAGACATAATTCGAGATAAGATTATCGGGATATTCATCCACAAGTGCATTCATGACTAGAGCTGTTAAACCGGAACCCGTACCACCCCCTATCGAGTGTAGGATTTGGAATCCTTGCAATGAGTCCACAGATTCTGCTTCACGCCGTATTGAGTTTAATACGGCGTCCAGAATTTCGGCACCGTCCGTGTGATAACCTCGAGCAAAGTTGTTTCCTGCGCTGTCAGTGCCAGCTACGAAATTTTCGGGTCTGTACAATGAGGAGCGTTTGTGTAGGTTTTCAATAGTAGTCGCCTCAGTATCCACACAAATAGCGCGTGCATAGAATCGTTTACTCGCGGTGGCATTAAAAAAGACATTGATTCGTTCCAATTGTAAAGCGCTGGTGCCCTGAAAGCGTCCAGACGCATAGTCTACTCCATGCTCGTGAGAGATTACATGCCAAAACTGGTGATAAAGACTAATTTAATTTATAACGCCTGTGTAAAGTACGGAAATTCTTTAGCTTACAGCATCCCCTATAGAGTTTCCGCTGGCTCCTATTTGGATAGTTATAATTTCGCGCATTTTCAAACCCTTTATGGAACTTCAAATTTATTTACAGGCAATTTTGTGAATATGTATGTTTTTTGCGATTATTTGCTATAAAATTATTTTTCGTACATTTTATAATTTACCAAAATTATTTTACGAATTTATATTTCTGACATTTTCAATGTATTGAAAGAGAAGTATAAATATTATACGTTCTCTGCTGGAAGGTCTAAAATGTTCAAAGTTAGCGAGTATATTTTCGATACTTTTATTACGCTTCACGTTAATTAAGTTTTGTCAATCTCCGAATACTTACATAAAATTCATGAATTTCTCAAATATAAAAATTGAAAACAGTTACCTCTCTTTTGGACAAAATGATTATTGGCGAAATGCATTCAAAGGCTTACAAATTATATGGAAATATTCAATTGCCAATGTAAAAGGATATACATTTATAATGTTATTATACACACAATGGCTGCAAATCTAAATCAGCTACATCCATAGCGCCTTCACGAATTCGTTCCACTTTTTCATCGTCATCATCATCGACCTTATTGCTTTTTTCATTGTGTGTACTATAATTTAAATATGTTATTATACTCGTACTTCATCCGACAGAGCTAGCTACTCATCCTTTTTTCCCGCTGACAAGGAGTTAAACAATCGATTAACTTCATTTGCAACCAAGTTATCCAACACAACACCGTTGGCGTCAATAAAATTGGCACATGATTTAGTGCTGCTTACTTCACGCACACCTTTGGTATCTGTTACAGTAAAAGTGAGTATGTATTTGTCATCGTATTTCTTCATATCGGAGCTAGCTTCCCAGGTTCGTGGTCCATTGTTACCATTCTTTTGGACTGCAACAGCAAAAGTACCTTTTTCGCGGAAAGTTGTATGAAGTGTGAGAATTCCCATTAGCGCGAAATAGGCAATTACGCTAAAAAGCAAGACTGGGCGAGATTCTGGGAAAGGATGTGTGTAATCCCAACCATGCGCTAGCACTGCCACACCTACGGCCAGTGCACACAACACTAGCCGGGTGTTGATCAAACCGAATTGTTCCTTTAATTGTGGACGATCGCATAATAGACAATTCTTCACTGCATCATCTAGTGCATGTTTCACGGCAGACCCATCCCATTTGTTTATTTTTACAACCTGTGATGAAAATCGAAAATATAATTATGATTGATTTGTGCCGTTGTATGTCGCTTGTCTGGGAGTTGACGTGTACAAAAAATAAAACCTAGCGGCTTTCGAGTTACAATCGCCACCGACACGAGAAATCATTTTCCTCGGTAGAAACTTTACACTCACCTCAATTTCGAGTTGTGGCTTTTCTTCTTTTTTATTAGTCATTACAAAAGCAGTACTTGGTTAAAACAGTGAAGTACAAATGTGAAAAAATATTTAACAACGCGATCTAAAATTACTTTCGGTACACGACAACAAATAATTTGCCGCTTGACAGATTCCGTACGAGGTGTTCAGTGAATAAGTTGTGGCTGTGTTCCTTACGAGAAATCATGAAATTATATATAGGGTTGCATTCCCTTGGAACTAAATTCAAAAAAATCGTGAAAACTACAATAAATAAATTAAATGTTATATATTAAATATTATTAATTTTAGATTCTATATGCCACATGGTTTGACCATCGATCTGTCTCTTATACACATCTAGAAAAATCACAAATTTCCACTTACACTGCAGACCCAGCAGTTCAAAGTCCCAATTGTTGGGTATCACCGTTAAAGCAATTATTGGCAATAATATGTTGCCCACCGAAAACATTAGACCCATAAGCATAACTATGCGCGAACGAAATTTCTTGCCATGCAATTCAGTCAANTAAAAAAAACACGCATTTTATAAAAAAAATTATAAAACACAACATTTGAAAAGTAGATTTTATGTTTTCCGATATAAAGATTTTAGCTTTTTTAATTTTATTTATCGCTTAGAGCACTATCATTACCAAAGCAGTAACTATAAAAAAATAATACATTATGATTAAACCTTAATTATTGGAATAAATAGCAGATGTATCACTTTTCTTATAATGCCTTCATTTGAGCAAATAAATCATCTAAATCCACATTAGCAGCAGCGGCAACAGTAGGCGCGTTCTCCGCGGTAGTTTCTGGTGCCTCATATGCTAAACGTAGACCCGTTGCTACTTCTTTGCATGCTTCAGTTGCTTCGGCTACGGGTGGAGAATGATTGACTAGTTCAATGCCCCATTCATTTGTTTCGTGCAATGGCGTATCATCCTCGAAAGCAATCTCTTCCGCTACCACTTTTGGACGTACTTGGTATTCTTTTTGACGTTCTTGACAGTGACGGTCATCACATTGAGTATTCGGTTTCAGACTCATACGTGGAAAGAAATCGTTCATTGCATTATAACCCAAGTAATCAGACACTTCCCCGAAATTGAGCAAATATTTGAGTGCATTCTGCACCAACATACCGGCGGTTATACCCATAGTAGTAGGCAGGGAAGCAGCACACACTCCTTCACGTTTCAACGTTTTTTCATCAATATTTTCTGCTACAACTAGTGGTGGGGCACAACCAAAACATGCCGTTTCTCCGGGACGTATAAATTGTATATGTCCGGAAACAGCATTCTCAGAAACACCTGATTCGAACCAATTTAAACCTAGTTCATTACAAGCAGTATTGATAGCCATGCGAGCCTCAAAATTATCAACACAACTTAACACTAAATCAACTGGTGTATCGGGTTGTATACCACCGTGAGATATAGTATTCAAGAACTTATCGAATGATTCCACAGTAGTTATGTTATAGTTGTGAGTTTCGATCCGCACATCAGGATTAATAAAGCTTAAGGTGCGTGCAGCTGCTTCCACTTTGGACAAACCGGCCTGGTCAGGTGTGAAAAATAGTCGATTCATATTTGCCAGTTCCACTTTGTCATAGTCAAAAAGTATTAATTTACCGATGCCACACCTAGTATATTTTTAAAATACAGTAATTATTTTGTTTATAATGTTAACAGTTTGAGCTCTACGTATAGTTATCGCTAACCTTGTTAACATATCAGCTGTTACGCTCCCAACACCACCAATCCCGACCACAGCTACTGTTTTTTCACGTATGCGCTCGTACTCCTTAACAATTCCCATACGTTGTAGCGCCATAAGACGACTATAAGGATTGGAGTCCACTACTTCTGCAGACATTTTATCAATTCTTTCTCGTGCAGCGCGTGTCGCGTTTTTCTGCTGCTCCAATGCATTTTTCAGTTCGGCGATTTTCGCCTGTAATTCGTCGAGGGCCGACATTAGAACTTACTATTGAACTTAACTTTATTTTTGTGGTATTTTAATGGTAGAGCTGTATGATAAGAATTTGTTTGCGTGTCACTTTCACTATTGAGAGGACTTTAACAAACTTGACAAACTGCATTTACTACTGTCAAATGGAGCAGCTGTTGTTTTTTGTTGTTAAAAAAGAGCTGCCAATTTCTAATAATAATTGTAAACAAAGCATGTATGAACGCAATAAGAAAATTACGGAAACGGAAATGTAGTTCAGTTTCAGAAGAAATGTCATATAAGA